ATAAAGTCTTGTTTGTATTTCTTTTGTACAATAACTAAAAATAATAATAAAACAGAAAATATATAAATTTGTATACTTAAATGTCAATTACGATTAAAATAAACATTGTCGAAATAACGAAACACAATAAAATATTTTTTTCCTTAATTTATAAATAAGTATGTGTCTGTAGTTTATGCATGTACATATTAAATTATGTTTAATATTGTTACTTGACTAATGTCAAAATTACCAATATTTCGCGTTTTAAACTAATAAAACTGTTTTATTCAAATTAATACGGTTGATGTGTAAAATTTCACCAGTTGGATATAATTGTATGAAATCAAGACAAGCATTATGGAACGTTGAACGCATTCTTATAGAAACGCGTCAGCATAATTATATCCGAGTATAGGTAGACGGCATTGTCTAACAATGTCAAGCTCGCTTGGGCCCCGATGATGACATCACTAAAATTCTCCTCATCACTCAGTGCGGTTTCCTGTGGGCATCCGAACAAAGAGATGAAGAAATAGATCTTTTATACTTTTCAACGTGATCTATGTTAGCAACTAATGTGTTGAAAACTACCCTGAATATTGAATTTAAAGAAGCAATCAATTTTAATATAATTTCCATAATAAAAAACAGATGAGGGCGGCACTGGTACTTACATACCGCTATCGTTTTATTGATTAGTAGTGTACTAAACACTTAAACAAAATAATATGTAATGACAAGGTATTCACTTAGTGTCCCCGGGCTCCCTTAACGCACCGTAAAGGGCTGGTGGTGTGTTTAGTGGTTCTGGTCGGCTATACGATTTACCACACTCCCCACGTCACACTTGCCCGACGTGGACGTGCATTAGGCATTCGCACCATCAGTTAAAAAGAAAAGGTATTCACTTAGTGAAACGAAAATAAGTAAAGTACTGTACTTAGTTAAAAATTATTTATTGACAATGTTTTAAATTATTTTTAATTTATTCTAATTATAATCATTTGGCATAGGCCATAAGACGGACAAGTTACATTAATAATAATAAAAAAATTTAAACAACTTTAAGCATCTAATAGGAAAGATAAATCGAATACAGAAACTTTTTAAAAGTAATCTGTTTTAATAGTTGTAATAAGATTTATTGATTTTTTAACTACTAAACCGCTCGACAATGTTTGATTAATTTTTTTAAATTATGTTTCATCGTTCAACTGTTAAAGGACCATTACAGGCTGAGACTAAATATTCAAAAACAACACAATAGTTTACTATTTTTGGGTGTAAAGTAGGAGAATATAGAACAACATAGCAGGGTTTATGTTCCCAATAATTTAAGATGCTTTTCCAAATAATATTGCTTCAATAATAATTAAATAATCGATTACGACTTGAAGAAGGGAAAGATATTTCCCTTGAAAGGGTTAATGTATGTCCAGGGCACGTGAGTATATATACATATCTCAATACAGTTAGGAGTAGAGAATACACAGTTATTAGTACTGTTATCTTGAGCGCGCCAAGTTTACGAGCAATCAGCGACAGATAGCGGTGACGTCACTTCCGGCCTGCCGCCTTCCCGTTCATCTGGAGGACACTTTACAGCCTGCATTCAAGTCTTGATAACACGACTAGGTGTATTTTACAGCTGTAATGCCTGTATTTTCAGGAGCTTATTAGTTTTCAAAGTTTACAATATTCTCTACCATTTTACGTTACTAGTGCCATCAAGTTATTAGGTAGGTAGGTACAATAAATACTTCGTTTTTATTGTATCTATACTAATATTATAAAACTGAAGAGTTTATTTGTTTAAACGCGGTAGTCTCAGAAAGTACTGCTTTGAGTTAAATAAAATAAATACTGTCTATAGTTTACGCGAGTAGTACACATTTAAATAAAACACTTTAACGTCTCCCCGTGACCACGGATGCTGCAAAGCGTCCGAAACGTCGGGCCGAAGTTAAAAATCATTTTCAAATAAGTTTAACTAATATATCGCATTTAAACCGTTTAAATATTATAATTTTATCATATCATTGTTTTTCGGACTGTTCGGCCGATGTGAGCGAGAAGAGGTTCTCGACGTTCCACCTTCACGAGCGGACGGCATCATCAGATGTTATGGTTTATGGTTTAAGACGTTTATTTCTCTTAAGATTTACAAAATCACTTACAGAGAAATTATGAACTATTCTTAATTCTAATTTATTACAAGTCAAATCATATCAAAAATAAAAATAACAAAAGCGGGTTGGATATCAAAACTTTACGCAAGTTCTATTAATAGGACGGCTCATTCGCTTCTTATCTCCAATGTATCTTGTAAAGGTTTTGCACATCGCATAGCGTAGTGCTACATTGCTATAGTTTTACACATAAACAAAATATTAAATATATCTAATTTAACAACAAAAAAAAAAATGTTTACTTATGTTTATTATTATAATATGATTACTACTATAGTTTAGAAAAATCCTTTATAATGTGTGCTTTTAATTTATTTTTAAATATGCTAAATGAATTTGCAACTTTAATATTCATTGGAAGATGGTTATAAATTTGAGCTCCCTCATACATTATATTTTTTAAGCCATAATTAGTTCGTGGTCTTTTTAGGTAGATATTGCCGCTTTGTCTAGTTATACATTTTTTGATGCTATAATTTATCACTAGTTTTATCTCGCTGTGCACTTCTTTATTTAGCAACTTTCTTATTAATAAACATGTATTATATTTATATATTTGTGTGAGATTAAGTAATCCAGTTTCTTTGTATACTTTAAGAGTTGGCTTCCAAAAGTTTAGTCGGAAAACTTTTTTAATGATTTTATTTTGAAGGGTTTTGATTGGTTTCAAATTTGATGTAGCAGCTGTTCCCCAGATTTCAATTAAGTATTCTAGTTGCGACTTTACTAGAGAATTGTATATTACATACTTGATTGGTTTTGGTAAATTGATACTTAAATTCCGAAACAAGCCTGAGAGCGCAGTTAGTTTATTTCTTAGATGTTGAATATGGTATTTCCAGGTAAGTGTACTGTCTATAATTAAGCCTAAATACTTCTCTTTTGTTACTTTATTAATTTCTTTATTTTGTATAGTTAAGGGAGGGAAAGTGTCAATAATTTTGTTTTTAGCTGCAAATATCATATAATTTGTTTTTGTTGTATTAATAGTGAGTAAATTCGATTGAAACCAGTCATGTAAGATATTTAGGTCATTTTGGGCCATCGCAGCAATAGATTTTATGGATTTACCGGAGTAAAATAAACTCGTGTCATCGGCGTATAGTGTGATGTTCCCTAATAAACCAATTTTATGAATGTCGTTTATATATATTAAAAACAACAGGGGGCCCAATATGGAGCCCTGGGGTACACCGTAGGTAACTGTCTGAGGTTTGCTTTGTGAGTTTTTAATTTTAGTAATTTGGGTTCTGTTTGACAAATAAGATTCTAAGATTCCAAAAGCTGATCCTGATATTCCAATATTTTTAATCTTTGAGAGTAGTATTGAATGACTAACAGTATCAAACGCTTTTTTTAGATCAATAAAGATGCCAAGGGTGATTTCTTTCCTATCTATGCTATGTTTTATTGAAGTAACTAAGTCAACAGCAGCAGTAAGTGTGCTAGATTTGGAACGAAAGCCGTATTGTTTATAAAATATCAAATTGTTATCATCTAAGAATTTTGTGAGGCGAGTGTGAATAACCTTTTCATAAATTTTAGAAAATATAGGTAGAACCGAAATCGGACGGTAATTGCCGGGTTCCATTGTATCACCTGCTTTATAAATTGGGCTTACTTTTGCCACTTTCAAGGAATCCGGGAAGTTCCCACTACAAAAACTGTTATTGATACACGTTGCTAAATTGTTTGATATTAAATCTTTAATACATTTTACAGCTTTAGTAGTTACCCCGTCTATTCCAGCACTTGTATTTGAAGAAAGCTTATTAATAATTTCCATTACCTCTTCTTTGTTAGTAGCAATCAGTTCAGAAAGTATAGGTTTATTAGCAGTTAGACAATAGTTTGTATCTATATTTTTGCTCATGGTTTTGTGGTATTTTGACGGTATTTGGTTTGCTAAATCATGACCTACGTTTGAGAAAAATATATTAAAGTATTCCGATATTTGTAATGGATCTGTAGCGATACCAAATGGAGTATTTAATTTTAGTGGGACGGGGACATTTTCAGTTTTATTTAGAGTTAAATTATTTATAAGTTTCCACATTTTTAAAGGATTTTTCTTACATTTATTAAACTCATTTATGTAATAGTCTCTCTTAGCTGTTTTAATTTTATTGTATACTAATTTTCTACAATCTAGAAAGTCTTGTCTTACAGAATGGTTTTTAGGTTCATGTTTAACCTTAGAATACAGGAAATTTCTTTGATTGATACAAGTTATCAGGTCTTTGGATATCCAGTCTTTTTTTGGAGGATTTAGCATTTTTGTTTTTGTTGTCTTACAGTTTGACATTAATTTCAGGAGAACTGTTTCCAAATGAGAATAATCATCAGTAACTATATGTTTGCAGGATTTATACAAAGCAGCGTAATCGAGCGCTTCGTAAGAAATGCGTTGAATGTGTTGCGGTTTTGATCGTTGTAGCTCCAGATATATTTGCCTGTGATCAGAAAAGGAACTATCTATATACGCCATATGAAAAGAATTTCCCAGCAGGGACGTATACACGTGATCTATTATAGAATCAGCAGTACTAGATCGACGCGTAGCATAATTCTTGTTAATTTTGTTTAGGATTCGTAGGCCATTTTCCTTTAAAATATTTTTATATTTTAAAACAGAGCGTTCTTTACTGAGCAAATTTAGATTGAAATCACCAAACACTAAAATTCTATTTCGTACTGCAAGTTGCTCACCATAGGTTTTCAGAAATTGTTTGACATTGGACGTCGGTTGTCTATATACTAGTCCAACGTCTAGGGACATGTTCTTAATGTGTACCCACAGGAAGTGGTTATTTTCTTCGCAAGCATTTATTAGAACTTCATGCTGCATGACGCTGTGAATATACATTGACACACCGCCACCTCTTGAATATGTTCTGTAATTATAATGATGATAATAGTTTGGTATATTCAGATATTGTGCATCCGGCTCATTCTTGATCCAGGTCTCAGTTAAAATTATAACATGTATAACAGTTTTAGAGCTTTGGATAATACATCTCAGTTCATCACATTTTCCTTTTTTTACAAGGCTTCGAGCATTAATGTATAAAAAGTTTATTGATTTGGATGTGGTTGAAATATCTGTGTAGTTATTAGTTATTTTATATGTTATTTCTTTGTTCTTCTCTGTATCATATCTAGTGCTAAGATTTTTAGTTTTTAGTTTTTTGGAATCTTAGTTATTTTTGGAATTCCTCTAATGTACTTTATAATAAGCCAAGGCTCCAAGGATGAACTCAAGGCTCGCCAAGAAAAAGGTGAGGATTCTCCTCACCTTTTTCTTGGCGAGCCTTGAGTTCATCTCTAAGGTTATTGTAATACTGTCTTTGCTGTGGGGTCTGGTCTGGATAGATACGAATTTCATCAATTGAATTCCTATTTTTGCTACGGAGAATTTTACCAGGTATATCTTCTGACTCAAAACAAACCTTCAGGGGGCGTATCTTAGCGGTATTGTATTTACCTATTCTACTGACCTTTTTTAATTTTGGACATTCTTTCAAAATTTTTCCAAGTACTTGTTCCACACTATCAATCTCAGCTATCTGTCTTTCTTCCCAATTTAACGAAGTTTGTTCAGGAACCCCAACAAAAATTACATTTTTGCATCGATCAGCACGATCTTGAATTTCAGACAATAGATCCTCACAGACTACCAGTTTCTTTTCTTTTGCTATTTTGTTTTCTAATTCTTTAAATTTTGTTTCATGTGTTTCCCATGAGTCTTTTAAGGTTTTAATTTCAGATTTTAGTTCATTATTTTCCGAGAGTAGGTATTCAGTTGTGCTTTTAATGTCTTCTAGTTGTTCTTTTATGGAAGTGGTGTTTTGGGTTATGATTGCTACGTTATCGTTATGTAATTGGGTTGTTTGTTTTAAAATATCTAACATTTCTTTGCGAAAAGTATCTAGTTGAGTCGCACAGTCACACTCAGGCGTTTTCCTTTTCCGGGAAGATATACCTCTCAAATCGTACGCTAGTGTCGACAGGTCTGGCTGCGAGCTGGAGCTTCCCTCCGCTGACACTGGTGCCTTCGACAAAGTCTTTTTAGGCGACCGTTGAACACTCATTGTCGCTTTATATATGTCTACGCTGTCAGTGGTTGCACACCTTTATGTCTATCTTATTCGCTAGTTAACTAGCACTCAAATATATTTAGCAAAATACAGAATATAATTTTTATAAATCACTGAGACACGTCCGTACACTACAACGATGGAGTCGTAAGTCGTAGTTGTTGGTGGCAAGCAGTGAACATCAACCATGAAACAATCTGTGTCAGTAATACGAGCAATGTACATCAACTTCGTACTAATCTGTATAATAGGCCCAGCAATGAACATCAACTGCACTGTAGTCTGTGCAATATTCCACGCAATGTACGTCAATCACTGCTTATTCTGTGTCATTGATCACTGCACTAAGTAAACAACTTGAGGTCAATGCTAAGTCAATGTGAGTCTTATAGTGTGGCCGATAAGGTACTTACTTGCTTGCACTCAATATTATAATTTTTGTAACTTCCGTATATACCTCTTTCTATGTCAGACTAAAAACACTTTTAAAAATTTATCGTGATTTCCTTATTAATTTACTGGCACAAGCCCCCCACGATTATTGCTTGCTAATTAGCGAACCGTTCAGCTGGCCTTGCACTGTGTCATCCACTATTGTTTACACTTGCTTGGTTCCCATTTAATTACATCTTTGTTAAACCGCCGCCATTGTTATAAGATCAATATACAAACTCAAATTTCTTGCACTTAGTAACGTTTATTACTTCAACTGAATGTAATAGTAATTCACAGTCACTTTATCTTGCTTTTGTGTGTAGTTTCGTATAATTTATTACGACGTGAATATTAATAATGATTTATTTTCACAGGAGACTTCGTTGAATACGTGTGACTTGTTAGCTTCTCAACTGCTTGGTAGCTTAGATCATTTATCGAGGAAGGCTTTAAAACATGTTCATAACGTTTAACAAAGTTGATGCCAAAAAAAACTATTCCACGCGGACGAAGTCGCTAACACAGCTAGTTCTTTATGTATCAGAAGAATATCTGTAAGTCTGTTGTTTCGTTACGTGTAAGTTAACAGTAGACACTAATATTATGTACAAAAAAATATTGGAAAATAACGCGAAATGAAATGAAATAAAACATAACCACTAAATGATCTAGAAAATCACTTATTTTATCTTTTTTAAGAAGCCTATAAAACTGTCGTATCTATGACTGACGTACAAATTTACCGGGCCGTTATCGATAAAACAAACGCATACAATTCTAAGTTTCTCTTTAATCTTGTCTGCGGCATCATTAAACGAAGGTCCATTGTAATTTGTACGATAGATCGCAACGTAAAATTTTAATTACCCCACCCAAAGCCGTAGGTAAAACTTAAAGCACATTTCCGCCGTAAATCTTTTAAAACCACCTCACTGCATTTTAAAAGAAAGGATTATAATTTTCTTTTACCCTTGCGGGAGGGCGTGGATTCTTTTATTAATTCAGTACGCTTGAACGCTTCGTGGAGTATTTAAGGTTATTTTTTTCTATTATGGTAATTTTATGTTGGAAACGAAACCATAATTATAATGTTCTTATATGAAACACAGATATATAACCTTGTATTGATTTTGCGGAAACATTGGTGTGGGATACGCTTAGGTTGTTTATATACCATGCTATTGTTTAAAGTCGGAAGCTTGTTTAAGAAATTATTTTTTTATTAAAGAGGAAGATTTTTTTCTAATTACACATACGCATAATGTAGGCGTTAAATTTCTTAAACATATTGTGCATCGGCTTTGACCACTGCAATATGGGACTAGTTACTCCCCCGACTGAAGGGTAAGCGGAATAAAGTAAGTATTAGTCTAACAATATTATTAAATGATGGATTGTTAATCCAAGGCAAACAGGTAAAAAATTTCACATATATAAGTCATAACTAAACACTGTATATAGTTTACCGAAACGTCGGGCCGAAGTTAAAAATCATTCTCAAATAAGGTTTAACTAATATATCGCGTTAAACTTTTGAAAACCGTTAAAGTGTTTTATTTAAATAAGTCATAACTTTTAACAAATTTAAATTCGTTTTGTTAATAATTTCAAGTGATAACATTTTTCAAATTATTAATAGATTAAACAAAATCATAATAAAAGAAGAGAATAGGTTTTTACCAGATTTGTTACCTACTATGTATTCATTATAAGCGAATAAAATCTGAATATCCGAACTCAAATAGATCGCCAGCACATCTTGTTGAGATTTTACATGGCTGGGGTATTCCACCCGCAAACATGTGAACCCCCCGCTTTTTTGGCCCAAAAAAACATTTTGATTTTTCCAACTTCAAACTATAGTATTTAGAAGTGAGAAAAGTCGCAGCGTTCCAACGCTCGCGTATAAACGCCTAACCGTCAATCAAGTTCGGCGTATCGCTCGCTAGGTATACACTGGTATAAAGGTGCAGGCTGTTTTTGCGACCAAATGGCGATATAATGACAGACACCGCCGCCGATACGGGATCCTGAGCGCCGCACGCTAATACGCATGAATATTTATGAAAATCTTTTCCGAAAAACAATTACGCAAAGCCCAGATTATTTCAGATGCCGCCGTAAATGTGGGATTAGTTTTACGCGTCAAGGCAGCATTATAATTTCAAGTTGTAGTCTGTGCTTTTTTTTATTGCTGAAGCGCCTATGTGGATAAACACATCTATAAAGATAGAAAATAATGTGTATTTTATAATATTTTTGGTGACATTAATCGTACACTGCAAACCTTAGCATTTTGCTGTGATACTTACATAGCGTTATGCGAAAGACTTTCTAAAAATATTGGTATTGGTTGAATTGAGTGCAAAAATCTTCTCAATTACAACTGCAAGTAAAGTTTATCACTGGAATAGAAATGGTTAAATATAAATACTCTCTGTAGTTTACGCCAGTAGTACACATTTTAAAACAGTAACGGTTTAAAACGCGAAATATATTAATTCAACTTATTTAAGAATAATTTATTAAAAGACGACAAGGGTATTAAATACTTCTAAAATGTTTTATTAAAATGTCTCATTTTCTTTTCTCATTGTACCAACATATTTCTATTATTTACTAATTGAATTATTATAAGAATCTGAATTAATTTAGGATTTAATATAATATATGAGACATAATCCAAAACTCATATGGAAATCCACTATGTAAACACGATAAAAATCTAATTTAAATACTGCGCCGTTTTCTTGTATCGTGAAATGAAAGTGCGGGATCTTGATGGATCGTCGATCGAGTTTGATATGAGTCTTATTATAGTTTCTTCTCAGTTTTAATCTCATGTAAATTAAGAAAAGTTACTTTACTATGTTAGCTGTCTGTTTATGTTATTTTCACTTTAGAGTTTCTTGCCAGTTCTCGTTCATTATACGGACTTGATTTGAGAACTGGTGGTAAATAAACCACTTTATGGGTTTAAAACGGGATATATTTTAGTTAAATTTGTTAGAAAATGATATTTAACTACGGCAAAAGCAAAGATACCGTGAGTCAAATCTGTAAGGTCCCGGCCAGTTTTACCAAATACAAATTTCGATGAACAGATGGCGATAGCGTAGCAATTTTTACTTTGACCTTAGAGACATCCTCCATCGTTAGTCTTCCCGTGACCACGGCTGCTGATAATCATCCGAAACGTCGGGCCGTAGTTAAAAATAATTTTTAAACAAGTTTAACTAATATATATCGCGTTTTAAACCGTTAAAGTGTTTTATTTAAATGTGTACTACTCGCGTAAACTACAGACAGTATTTAATTGGTGGTAAATGTAAATTTGGAGTCTTTAGTTTTTAACTGCGTCTGTGAGTTTTATAAGTGTACCTTTCAATACGTGGAGAAATATTTTTTGACTTGAATTTTATAATTTGCTTGATGCGTTGATATTGTACAAATAGAAACATACATACATAATTCCTGTCTGTAGTCAACGCGAGTAATACACATCTAAGTAAAACATTTTTAACGAATTAAAACACGAAATATATGTGATAACTTATACACAATTTATGGAGACTATATATTTTTTAACCTTACTAGATAATGTTACAACATAGGATCTAAATTTACAAATTAAAAAACTTTTTAAAAACTATAATTACACGAAAACTATCTACATATTGGAATGAATATAAGTTTAACTCTAAAAACTAACATGTTCCCCAGGAACTCCAAATACAGCATAGACTGTCCTCGATCGTAATGACACGTATTCTGAAGTTCATTGGCCGTATTTCTAGAAATGAGGATTCCCTGGAGGGACTAGTCATCCAAGGGAGAGTTGAAGGAAAGCGTTAACGTGGTTCTCCTACCCGCTGGGCCGATCTTAACAGTGCTACCACCGGATCATCCCTTGGACAATACAGTCGCGATGAAAAATACCGTCAGAGATGGAGCAGGATAGTTCTTAGAGCAAGCTCGAATATAGAAGACACCAAACTAACCACGACATCATCATCACAGACCACGACCATTCTAGCTTCAGTGCACGACTGAGAAGAAGAAGAAAACTAATACATATATTTATTAATTTAATAACTTCCTATATGACGATTTTGGAACACGTCAGACAATACTTGAGTTCAGTTTACAGACAGACAAAACCGTGCCCTAGCACTAGTGCGATCTGGATGAAATATGGTAATACATTAGAATTACAAATGAGAACGCGTAACCGCGCCATGACGGCAGAATATTGCAACAGCGTGCCTAAATAGATGATTCAAGGATAATACTGCCTTGAACGCATCGATGCTCTACCGTGAAGCTGAATAACGAATAAATTGTTATTCAAGAATGGGCCACCTTTGGATAGAATAGAAGAAAGGAGAAAATACTAATATTTTTTAAACATGATTTTAGATTGAGAAAGTTTTACGACACGGACAGGACTTGAACCGGCAGAAACAGCGTTCTGCGCTGTTGCTCTAACCAATTCAGCAACACCAACAAGCACGGAACACTAAATCCCGGTTCAATCCGTGTCATATTTTTTTCAATCT